ATCAAAACTCAAGACTGAGTGTGGTTTCTCAGACAAGCGGCAGATGACACTACAAATTGGCGACCACGAAGGGACGGAAAAGAGCAGAGGAGTGGACGACCACTTTGGGCTGACTGAGACGAGCAACACAGACACGGTGGCCACTGAATAGGTAAGCAATTTTGCTTATATAATTCGTTTGTGTTGTTTGCCGGTCTGCCCTTGGTGGTAAGGACACTGAAAATCTGCTCTTCCAAAATTAGAAAATAAATAAAAAATAAAAAATGGGTTTTGATGTCAGAAGAAATAACTGAATGCACATATTTGATTTACTGTTAGGAAGTCCTTGATAGGTGACCTAAATTGAAACTAGATGGTGTAGGCAGAAATACATTGCATGTAGTGGTCTGTGTTTATTGTGGATTGGGCCTAAAAGGGCAGCAATCAACAATAAAGCAGATATAGTATAGAAAAGCGCACAAAGACCTTTGGATACCGCTCTGTAGGAGAGGAATAGTACAGAGGGCTGAACGGAAAGGCAAAAATCCCTGCTGGGCGCTGATTTTTTACTGAGTTGAGGGAGATTAATCAGTAAAAGAGCGAGAGCCCTGCAGGTCACTCGAGGAAGTGTGTAGTGTTTTGTAGTATGAGACCGAAACTGTGTCTGTGTCCGTATGAATGTCTGTATGAGTGATGGTGAATGTATGAGGAAATAAATAAATCCCGTATTGGGTAGGTACAGGCTGCACACCCTCTTGGTCCATCACTTAAATGTGGCTTGGCGTGGATGGATGCAGCTCGTGCCGCACCCGAGAGGGATGAATAAATGATTAGCCCTGAAATAAAGGGAAACAATATGAATGCAGTATTCCTATAAATAAAGGGAAAATTAATGAATGATGAGCTCAAAATGTACATCCTTGTCACTTTTTTCACCCCTGATTGACTTGCAGATTTTTACATTTTTTTATGTGAGAGTTTGTATTACGGAATAGAATATATAGGGGGGAGCCAAAACTGATCTTGCATACCCCTCAGCAAATGTGCAGTTGCGCCCCTGCCTGTGAGATATGATGTGTATTCTAACTAATGCATGATGCATCTGTGACTGTTCAGTTATTGCTTGAAGTGTTGCTCTACAAAGAGGCCATGGAAAAAAATCTGAAATATAGTGATTGTAAATTGTTTACCCAATATGGGCACATGAGGGAGAAAACACACACAAAACAGGTCCATAATCCTGACAACTAGAATATAGGGGGGCACCAACACTGATCTTGCATACCCCTCAGCAAATGTGCAGTTGCGCCCCTGCCTGTGAGATATGATGTGTATTCTAACTAATGCATGATGCATCTGTGACTGTTCAGTTATTGCTTGAAGTGTTGCTCTACAAAGAGGCCATGGAAAAAAATCTGAAATATAGTGATTGTAAATTGTTTACCTTAGTAGTTCTGCTTCTCTGATGAAAACTGCTATGCGATCAGTAATGCTAACAGAGCAAAGTGGACTGATCACGAATTCCCAGACAGCAGACCGTTTCGGCCCAGATCCGGCCCACATCTGGCCCGCATGGATTTCACATGGGCCAGATGTGGGCCGGATCTGGGCCAACACTATGTTGCTGTCTGGGTTAGTATCAAAGAATAGCACATCAAAGGGATCATGCATCAATATCTGGGCAGTTCTTGTGAAATGTCTCCTCATCAGCTGATGAATGGACTTCCTGTCCATGACATTATTTTCAGGCACCAACGGGACATCCACATCAGGACACACTGTTGGCCAGGGGGCAGTTTTGCTTACTTGTACATTGTTTATGTACCTGGCTGGTTCCTTAATGTCATGATCTTTAGCTGGTAATGATTTTCAATAAGAAAAGATGGTGTGACATTTTCATCAAAGCCTGGCTCATCCAAAACTTTGGGAGAAAGGTTATGAGTATTGGCATGTTCCTTCCTCAACATAATTATTCTGTGATCAACATTTTTTTTCCTTGGCCAATTTTAACTGTAGGCAATGCACACTAATGCAATGTTCGAAACATGCTACCTTATTGATGTAATACTGTCTCGTTGGTGTAACAGTAAATGCTGGCCAGTGTTGCCAACTTAGCAACTTCGTTGCTAGATTTAACTACTTTTCATACCCCTTCAGCATAGTTTGTCTTCAGTGTCTTTCACAGTGTCTTTAACTTATGTGTATGCTGATTTTGTCAGATGAATGTGAAAGTTATGTGACGTGTAGCCAAGTATGGTGCCCCATACTGAGAATTTGTGCTCTGCATTTAATCCAACTGCACAGCAGTGAGTAGTGAGCACACACCCAGAGCAGCGGACAGCCATTTTTGCTGCGGTGCCCGGGGAACAGTTAAGGGGTTCCTCAAGGGTCTCACCTCAGTCTTGGTATTGAGGGTGGAAGAGAGAGCTGTACATTCACTTATTCATTCATACATTCACCCCCACCTACAATCCCTGCTGGTACCAAGACTTGAACAACGACCTTTGGGTTACAAGTCCGACTCTCTAACCATTAGGCCATGACTGCCCAGCAAATACAATGCTCTCAAAGTTGTAAATCTATACAATATTTTAGCAGCTTGGAAATTGCTTGAAAGTGATAGCTGCCCAGGTGAAAAAAATATATATTTAAATTGTGCTTTTTCAGACATACTTACTATATTTAAATTATACTATACTAAGTGCATATTCAATGTATTATTTTGAAACAACTTTAAGTATATTAAGTGTATTTCAAGATATGCTTAAGTTTGATTTTAATCTATTTGTAATATATTTAATATATTGAAATTGTGTTAAATTGGAACCACTTTAAGTATATTTAGTGCAATTTAAGTGTATTTCTTAAAATACATTTAAAATGTCCTTTTAATACTTCATGAACTACAGTTAGAGTAGTGTGTTTACACACACAAGGAATTTGTCTTGGTGTCAGGAGCTTCCAGTACAGAAAGTACAAACATAGTGCAGACAAACATATAATTTAAGGTAATAAAACACTAATAATATAGATAATAGACAATAAGTTATAAATAACAATATACAGGGCTCCAAACAAAAAAATTGAGTAAGGAGCCATTGGCTCCTATAAGAAAACATTTTAGGCGGCAAAAAATATTTTTAGGTGCCACAGAATAAACGTGTTTTATTTATTTTATTATTACTTTTTGACATTTCAATCATACTTTCATGTGTTTATATCTCATCTTTTCTTGAATTTATCAGCATTTTAATCCATCTTGTAGATGACCTGGGAACTAAGGTTCACTTAAAGTGGGAACTAAACGTCTT